AACGTCACATTGCTGATCGTGAACTAACTGAACGGGCTTGGGAGCGAGTAAAATCGAAAAATAGTAACATTGGAGAAAAAATTAGCGCATATCTTGTAACTAACATAATGAAGGCTAAGACAAAGCTAGGCATGGGTAATAAAAACCCCAAACAAATATTGGGTCAACAACTTTTTAAAAACGCTTTAAAAAAAGCTACAAGTTCCCTTAAAAGCAAAAAACCAACTGATATTGATGAAGCCATAAAAATAGCCAGACATGAAATACAAAAGACGTTTCGAGGAAAAAAATCAAAGGTCGCTATACCGCGAGTAATAAGCGTGCCCAAAAGAGGTGGATTTCTTCCTCTCATTCCCATTCTAACTGGATTAGGAGCATTGGGAGCCTTAGCATCGGGTAGTTCAGCAATTACCAATGCCGTTTTAAATGCAAAAAAAGCCAAACAAGAGTTGGATGAACAAACCAGACATAACAAAACAATAGAAGCTATAGCTATGGGTAAAGGTCTCTATCTCAAACCATATAAAAAGGGCTATGGAATTTATGTTGATGAAAATAAAACTCCAAAAAACTAATTAAGCAGCTACCCAAAGGTCCTCTAACCGATGTAAATATTAGTTTTTTTGGGAAAAAATATATACCTCACTTTAGAGGTGTTTATATGCGTGATAATCTACCTAAGAAACCACATCGAATTGAATGTGGTATCATAAATTTGGATGTTAGCAGTGGACCTGGCACGCATTGGGTGGCATATAATAAAATCAATAATAATATCGACTATTACGACAGTTTCGGTAATCTTCAACCCCCGATAGAAGTTTTACGGTATTTGGGACCAGCTATTACATACAATTATAAAAGAGATCAACGATTTCATACATACAATTGTGGACATCTTTGTTTAAAGTTTTTATTGGACATGAACAAAATTTTATAAATACTCCAACATCGATGATATCCCCTCCATTCAAATTCAACTTTCCTAAGAAGATGATTGAAATCAATAGATCGGATATTGCACTGGTTGATTTTCAATATTGCCATGGAAACCACAAGAGTATTTTCGTGAAGGAACTATCATATATGTGTGGTGCTTCTGTTGTTCCACATTATTTTTTGTTTCGTCCACCTTTTAATATAAAAGAACTTACTGGGGAAGCATGCAGAACAAATGCCTACACCAAGACACATGTGAATGGCTTAGATTGGACAGATGGAGAAAAAAATTATAATGATGTCGAGAAAGCTCTTACACCATTGAACAATTATCAATATATTTTTGTTGTTGGACAAGAAAAGAAAATCTTTTTACAGAAATATATTCATTCTACCATTATAAATTTAGAAAATAATATGAAACTTCGAGCTTGCCAAAATTATTTTACAAACTGTCCTATACATTTGGACACTAGATTTAAGTGTGCCGTAAATAATATATTTAAGATATTTGTATTCATTGAACAAAACTGGAAAGAACTTGGCTACATACTAGACGATGAAATTAATAAAGTTAATAAATAAAAACAAGCAACTGTATTATTTGCATAAAACTTTATTTAAAGCATTAAAGGTAATGAAAGTGAACAATAATAAGAAAATGGGTGAACATTTACTCGCTCCACGACCACAAACATCTACACCAATTTCAGAAGGTGTACAATTCCAATTTTTTGAAATAGTTGGGACATTAGTTGTTTCACGCCCTTCCAGTAATGGGCAACGATATGTCAACCTTGAATGCTCAGTAACAGGACAATCAGTTTGATCCCAACTATGAATGTTTACTTTACAAAAATAACATCTGGTAATATCTCCTACTCCAGTATAATAAAGTCCTACTGCAGCCATTGTCTTGGGATCTGGATAATTTAAAGGCCAGCGAGCAAAGGTTTTTAAGCGTTCGTCTTCCTTATTAAGAAGAGACATCTTCCTTTCTAAAGCTTCACTAATAAACTGAAATATTTCTCTGCACACATTAAAATGAAAACAGCTTGCAATTTTTAGTTTCAAACAAAATATTTATTTACTTTTCAGTTTATGTTAAATATGGTTGATAAAAATAATCTGGTTGATCCAAATGTTTTAATTCTAGTTTGTAAAGACTCTTTCCGCTTCCATCTTTCAACACAGTTTTCGTCACAGAATAACCCCCACCAGCTATTTCTTTTATGTATTCATCCGCCAGCGAGAGGAATCTTGACGGCAAATAGAGGATAGCATCATTAATTTTCAGCACAATTCTTTCCCCATATTTTGTATTTGTTCTAAAGGCGCCATGGATGTTGTATTCTTTGTTATCCTCCATTTCTTTCAAAGTTATTATTTTTTTATAACTGAAAGAATTGAATAAGTTTATTAAATCTGCGTTCGCCATAATATCACGTTCAATGTTTAATTTTATACTGTGAGCCTTACTTGAAATTGTCTTCTATATATAGGAATATTTAACGCGAATTTCACAATATTACAGAGTTACTAGAGTTTTTAATTTTGAGCATAGTTAAGCATGTTCTCATTCATGCTCCAATCTATCGTTGAAGCAGAATTTGTCATGAAACTCTGCAACAACGCTTCCCCCCAAATTCTCATATCCATTTCACAGAAATCCAATTGTTAGTTAATGTAAACAATGGTGTTTCCTTCTTCAAATCCCTTCAATCTTCAATACCGAATTGATGCAGGGTTTGTCATGAAACTCTTTCAGTTTCAATTCTCTCAAATTGCTACATAATGTAAACAAATTCTTCATCGACAAAACTATCAAAAAGCGATCGATATAATGTATCAAAATGCCTGTCCACACAAGAAGAATTTGCTTTGATTGGCTACAGCAGCATTTTTTTAGTGTGTATATGCTACAACATTAATTGGTGGTTAGATGTCGCCTATATCGTTTCGAGGGAAATGACTGGAGAGCCATCTGGACAAAATAATAGAACACACATCTTCTTGTTGACTATGATACTAACCAAATTTGTCTCTGCTATATTCACTTCTCATATGGTGGATCTCTCTAGCCCCATTCGATATGATCATATTTCAATAGTTTTGGAGTGTGTCTATGCTACAACATAATTTATGGATAGTATGGATGGAACTCACCGTTAGATGTCGCCTATATCGTTTCGATGGGAATAACTGAACATTTTTGAGTCGCTAAAATTATAGACAAATTAAAACAAGTACAACGAAAAGTTAGTTTTGTCTTTTTATCTCATCATGTTTTGCATAGCCAACATGCTGATTTTCGTGTTCAACCCACTCGACTTCGTTATCGTTTTTCTTAAAACCCCTGAAATATCAATAATTGCAGCATATTTGTCAATTGAAACTCTTCTATAATATATCACATTTATTGAAGTCGATTTCTTGAAATATATGTTTTCAAATAAATTAATAAGCACATTTGACTGCAGTAATCAACATGTTGACTATATAAAAGCATTCTGAGAGCCATCTAGATAAAATGATTTTCTTCGATACTTACCTCTTACTTATATTCACTTCTCACATGGTGAATCTCTTTAGTCCCACTCGATATGATCATAATACATTTTTTTTTTTTTCGGAGGGTGTCTCTGCTAGTGGTGAATATTAAAACTTGAAATTTCACCATCCCATACACAGTTTTGGATTGTGTCTGCGCTAAACTTAGCGCCATCTAGTAGTTCATATTAAAACTAGCAACACCAACGCCAACAGCCCCAATAAAATTTGACGTGGTACAATTCAAAAGACAACATCCCCAATATAATTTGCCGTGGTACAATTCAAACGACAACATCCCCAATATAATTCACCGTGGTACATTTCAAAAGACAACATCCCCAATATATTTCACCGTGGTACATTTCAAAAGACAACATCCCCAATATATTTCACCGTGGTACATTTCAAAAGACAACATCCCCAATATATTTCACCGTGCTGAATTTCCCCCAATCAACATCCCCAATAGAATTTGCCGTGGTACAATTCCCAAGACAACATCCCCATTAAAATTCACCGTGGTGAATTTACCCAAATCAACATCCCCAATAGAATTTGCCGTGATAAATCGTGGTGAATTCCCAACATCCCCATAAGCACACTACTTGTGTGTGTGTGCGTGTGTGCTGCGCCTCAAGGGATTAAAATATATGTAAATAAATTACTTGCAAAAAATGTGTAAAAACAATAATGGCGACGGCAAAAAAAAAAGAACACAGACTGGCAGGCACACGACCACTACTGGCAAATAATTGTCGAGCAGAAGCAGACTAACAACGGTTTTTAATTTATATGAAGGGCTCTCTTGTGCTGCTACACACGAAACACAATTCTCGGCTAACGGTTGTCAAAGCTGTGCCACTGACTCACACTTTTCTGGACACATGTTGCTCCGCACACACACACACACACACACACGTTGGCACACGGTATTCCAGGGACACATACACGCATCCAACTAAGGAAAAACAACAATGATGCGATTAAGCCAAACTAGTTCTGCAACAACAAAATAACTGAAATGATTTTACTCCGAACAGCACTCTAAGAAATCAAAAGGAAATTTAATCAAACGCTTTAGTTTGGCGACGATTTTACATTTCCATTCAAAGTCGAAACTGAGTAGCTGAAAAATCTTCGTATCCTAATCCTTTTCCTATTTGCGATAGAATCTGGCACCTCCTTTTAGCAATCTTTGTTCGAAAACCCGTCCAATTGAAGCAGGGTTACCAACATCTGAGTGGAGCTGAATTATTGTTCTATGAAATATTGGAAAAAAATATAAATCTATTTGAGTTTTGCCTTATTAAATCTATTTTATTTGAAACTTCTTCTCTTTAAAAATGTTTACATTTCACACTTTTATAGAACATAAATTTAGCCTCTGTCGTCGAATTTTACTATTTACAAATCAATCCCTGTTGAGCACCACTATTTATTTTAATTACAAAAATGTTCCATTGTTTCAACAAAATTTTCAATTATCTTTTTTTATAATCTCCTTACAGATTTGAGAACGAGTGCAATACAACAACACGTGGACAACGACGATTGTGTGATGACAAACGTGAGAATTTAGTTTGCAACGATACCCTTAAGCGTATTCAAAACGCCGCCGCCACAAGGAAAGACAACAAAAGTATTGAAGCATTGAGGAATTTGGTCAGACGTCAGCTGAAACAATTTCCGAGGTTCGAACCAAGGTCCAATACAAAGGCACCATCTGAAATAAATGTTGTTTATTCGTCGCTGGAAAAGTGTAAATACGCCAACGATTTGCAGAAGCCGTCCGACATCAACGAGGACTATCAACAACGACGACGACAGCCGCAAAGACGTCGTAGCTTGGGAAAACTTGAAAGTGTTGATGGACTGCTAACAAACAAATACTACCCCCACCACCAGCAGCAACAACAACAACAACAATTTGTCGCGAATTACAAAGAAATTCCATTTACAAGCGATTGCTGTGTAACACGAACAACCGTTCGCAAGCAACGCAATTCATAGCACCCACCCAGCTGCGGTGTATTGGCCAATGCTAATGCCACCCTATCGCATTATTTAGAACAGGCAACCGATTATTACGAACAAGGTTTTCTCCGTAGCATTGAATACCTGAGAAACGTAGGCGAACGCAACCGACTGCGACGTAACCACTTGCGTCATTCTATCTACGACGATCCGACAGCAACTACTGCTGCTGCTATCTCGTCCGGTCTCAACGACAGCCCCCGCTCGAATGCATCGGCCACAGAGCTGCAACAGAGCTCAGACATCGATGTTGTTGTCAACAACGAGGAGGACTTACAACAGAACCGCCACCATTGCATTTGTAATCCAATTTTGAAAATTATCGCCAAGAAACGTTCGTTTCGCATTTACCGTTTTAACGACAAGGAAAAGGCATATCCGTTAGACGCCGAGACCACCAGTAGTGCTCTTTGGCCCATACGCGTTCGAATCAAACCAGCCGACAGTGCTACAGTATTACTGCCACAGACAAGCGGAACCGGAACCGGCAGGGGAAATTGCAAGTCATCAACGAATTCTGAGCCGCCAAAACAGGAGGAGGAGGACAGAACCGAAAGGAGCCAAGTTGAACACAACGACTCGCGGTATAGCATGAATTTGCAGTTACAACAACAGCAACAACAAAGGCCAAACTATCAATACAATCAGCAAACAACAAGTGCTCATCACAACTATCCCGCCAAGGAATTCCTAATTGATGCTCTCATTGGAAACCTACAAGAATTGGAGATTGACGAGTATCCTTTGAATCTGCCCCGCATCACATTGAGCGACTACACCGACAAATATCCCACAGAATTGCAAACATCACAACAGCAACAACAACCAAACGAAGCACTACACCTACTAGGAGGTAAACGTTCTTTGAATTCTTTTCTACTCAGTTGCCAGGAGAACAACATTGAACTACCCCTGTCCACACTTGGTGTACCCACTGAGTCGTCAGATTATCGCAGTGAAGCCAGACCACCGTAATATCGATACCGCTCCTAAAATAAAATAAATATAACTCTTAGCCTAACTACCCCCCAAAAAAAACAACCCGAAACCACTAGACGTTTACACGTTTCCATTTTGAGCCAGCAGACAAATTCTTTGGTTTCACTAAACCATGGTGGCTATTGAACATCGTTCGAAGTCTTCGAATACAACAACTTCAACATCCATATTATCGCCCACCTCAAATTCATCGGTTAATTCGGCCACAACATCGGTTACATCGACCACTTCCCTTTCAACCAAATCGACAACCACCCTTACGGTAAACAAGAAAATGTCCACGGAACCAGAAACATCGTCCTCGTCCAAAAGTGCTGTTAGCCAACGTCAAGTCGAGGCTAAGGTATCGAAAAAATCGCACAAGGATAAGGACGGTGCTGCTGCTGCCACTAACAATCAGGAAGCAACGAAGAAATCACTCAAATTGGATTTGAAGGGCAAAGAAACCGATTTGGAGTCACTCAAATCGCCAAAGTCCCCGATCGGAGGTAAGCATCTGCGGTCATTTGGTCCACCACAGACCAAACCCAAAAAAACAATGGAAAGAGATCTCAGAGCTTAGATGAGAGGAACTGTTCGTGTGGTGATTTGTTGAAAATGAAAGTACTTTAGATCCCTAGATCATCCTCCATTGACTTTTCTCTCGAAAATTCAATTATCTTTGGCTACCATATCCAATTGATTAGGAATCTCTTTTAAATTCTAATTCCTATTTCAAATTTGCATCTGTCAAATACAACAATGACCAGCACCAGCGATCTTGGGAAGTACTTCTTATTCTGTCGTCCAAGAAGAACTTCCTGTGTACTCTCATTTTATACAATCCCCCTGAACAAGCTTCTCCAATTCTAAGATGGATTCTTGAGCATAGATCGATGGAAGCAAACGGCCGTTCTACGAATGCGACAAATGCGAAATACTGAGATTTCATTTCGCATTGGAGGTGAAGGTCTAATTAGTCACAATGTATCGGCGGTCAGACACGGCCTGATAACGTTGCTGCTTGCGATAAGTTTTGACTAATCGGACCTTGGTTTTGTGTTTTGTAATACTCTCTGTTTTCTCTGTCTTTAGGTCGCCTAACACACCAAACCTCACTGTCTTCGTCCGTTGATGTAGAGGATCGTAAAACGTTGCGTGAGGCCCTCTACCAGGGAATATTCCATCGCCATCGAAGAACTATTTTCGCCTTTGGAAGTTTCCTGCGCATGCTGCGTAGCCGCAACTCCCAGTACAACTCGATACGCAGTGCATCTGAGGGCGAGGCCGAGGTCGAGGAGGTCAGATAAGATGAGGAGATGGTGGCGGTGGTGGATGATGGTAAACATGACATAAACCATGATGAAACTGGAAAATAAACAATTCACATTTTTTTTAAAAGAAAAACTTAAGAAATGTATTTTATAAAATAATAATAATAACAACAACAATCGATAAAACAAAAATATATATACATAATTATATATACACACACACATACATACATACATAACAACAAACAAACAAAAAGAGCATGTATTGTATTTAAGAAATGGGAACAAATTCATAGAATCCATTTTTATTTCGTTTTTCTCGTTTTCGTTCTAAAAACTAAAAAAAAAAACAAATTGAAAATTTTGTTAAATTTCAAAGAAAGTTACAAATAATAATAATAAAAAAAGAAGAAACAGGTGAATTAAACACTATTTTTCGTAGAAATTTATAAGAGAAGAAAAAAGAAACTACCTACATTTTATATGTATGTACGATATAACGACTTGATTATAATTATACATATTATATATCCATTGGCTTTTTAAGTATAACAAAAAACAAAAATAAAGTATCGAAACAAAACAAATACAAGCTTATAATAAAATAAAGGGAAAACTTCAAATTAATAACATATTCTTTAGTTGAGTACTTATAATCACATTTATCCATACGAGTATAAACTGAAACGTATTTATCAACCACCCAGGATATATGACAAACAAAACAAAAACAAAAGCAAACATTCCAGTTGTGTTGGTTTTCCCCACTTAATTTCTTATGTGAATTCTTTTTTTTTTTTTTTGCAATACTAACAATATTGAATACATATTTATGACAAATTAAAGAGAGAGAAAATTATTAATAAAATCTAACAAAAAGTACATTATTGGCTGTAAACCGTTTAATTTATTTCCGTTTCTTTTTTGTCGTTCTGTTGGTGTTTTTCTATTTCGTTATTTGTTCCTTATTAACTGTCTTGTTGCTGTGCACTGAGAATCGTAAAAGTTACGACTTATTAAGCATGCCATTCATTTCTTTTTTTTTTCTACTGTTCCCCACCAATTTTTTATTCGTTTTTAAGTCCTCTATTTAGTGATTTACTTTCTTTTCTTTTACACAATAAAGGTTTCAACTTGTTTACAATGATTTTTGCAAAAATTACAAAAAGGATTTAACCATACGAAAACAATTAAAAACAAAAAAACTATATTAAAACAAGTTTGAATTAAATTGAAATTGTATTAAAATATAAACAAATCCGCAAATTATGTATTCAAACCGAGACATAGTATAAATGAAAACATTAAAAATTGATGCCACATACTCTCAGTTAACAAAATAAGAAATTTTATAGTATTTATTGTTAGCAATAGACGCGTCTACCATTTCATATCGACTTATAGACTTCTATCATCTATCTATCCTCTTGTTTTTTTATTATACTATCGAAACATAAATTTCCCTTTTCCACTTCCATTTTTATAATTCTACGGTTATAGCATTCTACTTTTTTTCAAACGATTAGAATTGCATTCTTTGGAACGTTTTCCGATAGATGGAATAACTTTAATAGGCAAGGTGGATTTTGAGGAGATGATAAAAAACGAAATGGGAGCTGATGCACTTACATAATTCCCATGACATACACTACCATTGTGCCACTTGCTCGACTAATTTAAAATATCTACAGTTGGCCGAAATTATTCAAACATACTGTTCTTAGGTTACGTTATAATCGTAGCCAACGTCTCTAAATCCTTAACACTAATACATACATACATTGCCTACTCCATATATGGTATTTATAGATATGAAAAAAATATTCAAAGACGAACCAAAGACTCTGGGCCTTATTCTGTATAATTTATAACTACCATTGATTTTCTTATCTTTTTCCATTCGTTGTATGAAACACTTTTGATAATATCTCTCCTCCGATTAATTTCGAACGATTCTTAAGTGGTGCTGAAAAAAAAAACATTCGATAAACGCCATCGTCTTGTATACTATATCCAATATCACAAAAATCAAATATTTTATATTTCCAGAAAAAAGGACAACGATGTTATACATTTTCTCTTACTCGTTTCTATACCCACACTCACTATATTCTTCTTCTACTTCTATGTGGAGTCTTTGGGCTAAAACGTAAATGTTAAGAATATAAAATTGCTATATATACATACATTGCTGGAACAAAGCCTTAATTAAAATATATATACATACTTAGAACACAAACATATATAGTTATTCATAATGCATAAAAAGCGTTAAATAGAAAAAATTAAATTTATGTAAAAAAATCGAAAATTAATTAAAACAGCTTAGTATTTGTTAAGATTCGAAGTAAACACCTAACTAAATTAACTAAATTAGATTAAAAAGAATTCTGTTGGTTGCAGGTTGTTTATAAAAAAAATAAAACGACAAGAAATCGCTTCTGTAAGAACAGAACAGACTCATTTCAGATATGCATTCGTGTCAGCATTGAATGACTGTAAAATTTTTGAAAATTGATTGCATGCATTAAGCTATGCCACAGTGCAATTCAAAATTATTCTGGCATCGCATCGCAGAGCGAAAATTTGACGAAACAAAAATATTCGTTTTATATTTAACAAAAACAAAAAAACATTAAACGTCTGTCTAATCCTATAACAAAACTATAAACTATTCTAAAAGAACACATTTTTCTACAAAAAATATAAATAATTGGCATATAAACTATATTATTAATTACCAAAACAAAAAAACATAAAGTTCAAGTTGCATTTCAAATGATTACCTATTCAAAAATGACAGAAAGACAAAACTACATTCAAAACACCGAATGAGATATAATTGACAATTATAGCGACAGAAAAGACAAAAGCAACAAAAAAGAAACATTTGCAGCAAATAAAAAGTTATAAATTCTAAATTGCAAAACGTCTTTTATTGTTTCTAGAATGTTTATTGGATTTTCAGGTATTGTATTTCCCATCCCTGTGAACGGTGTCTGTTTTTAACGCCGATAAGCAAGGCGGCGGGTTTTCATTGTGAGGGCTTTGTAATCTACCATCTGCCGCCGTCTATTTCTTGGCCAGAAGAATGAAGAATGAGAGAACACGAGGAACCTACTACAGAATGAATGGAAAAAAATGAGTAGGCAATGACGGAACACGAGAAAGCATCATAAGAATGAATGGAGAATGAAAGAACATTACAAATTGTCCAAATAGTCGTCAATTCTCAACAAAATCCAAAAGAAAATGTCCAAAACAAAGTCCAAGTCCAAGAAATCTGAATCGGAGGAGGATTCCTGTGAGGAAAGCAGTGCCACTAGTTCAGAGTCCCAATCATCAGACCAAGACGGTGAGGAAAAACTGACGAAGAGAAGCAAGCACAAGAATAAGAAGACGAAGAAGTCGTCCAAGAAAAAACACAAGTCCAAGTCAGATTCTGGAAGTGAATCGTCTTCGGAGTCATCATCGGATGAAGGAAAAAATGCTGCAAAAAAGAAATCTAAATCAAATGAAAAGGAAAAAATGCGGACGAAGCAGGAAAGGAGACCAAGGTCTTTGAGTGGTGAACGTGGAAGAGATATGCGTTCTAAGTGGGAAAGTCCGAAAAGAAGTCACCGAAGCAGAGACAGGAGTCGGAGTCGTCAGAGAGAAAGATCTCAGGAAAGGGATCGATATCGTTCCAACAGAGACCACAGAGATAGATTTGATGTCAAACGGGAAAGAAATGAGAGCAGGGATTTCAAGCGTGACCCTGATGGTGGATACAGAGGCAACTATCAAAGAAGAGAGTAAGTGCTAATTTATTGGTTTTTGTTCTGATTTCTCATTTGTAACAATGGTATTACGTAGACGCAGTCCACAAAGAGAAAGGGAAAGATCCAGAGAACGTGGTATTAAACGAGAATCTCGTGGAATAGACAACCGCTTCAAAAACCGTAGAAGAGATGACGATGACAAAAACTACGAATGGGGGAAACCATCCCAAGAGGAAAAGAAGCCTGAAGTGAAGCAAGAGGAAAAGGACAAGGAAAAACCCAATTTCGGTCTCAGTGGAGCCCTTACTGAAGATACAAATAAAGTTAATGGTGTCGTCATCAAATATGCCGAACCTCTGGAAGCCAGAAAACCAAAGAGACGTTGGCGTCTATACCCCTTCAAAGGGGAAACAGCTCTGCCCGTATTGCACATACACAGGCAATCGTGTTTTCTGGTGGGAAGAGATCGCAAAGTCGTCGATCTGCCCGTTGATCATCCTAGCTGCTCAAAGCAACACGCAGCACTTCAATATAGATTGGTGCCGTTCGAACGTGAAGATGGCACAACCGGTAAGAGGGTTCGTCTCTATCTGATCGATTTGGATTCTGCCAATGGCACATTTCTGAACAACAAACGCATAGACGCACGCAAGTACTATGAGCTAATGGAAAAGGATGTGATCAAATTTGGCTTCAGTACTCGCGAATATGTCCTATTGCATGAAAACAGTAAAGAAGATCAGGAGGACGACGATATTGAGATTAAAGAAGAAAATTGAATCATTTTACTAGACTTATTAATCCAAATAAAATATATAGAATATTCAAATTGTTTGGAATAATGTTTAACCGTGTTACTCCTGCAATGCCTACGGGTTAGAGAGAGTCCCAATTAATACATTTCCCCTATAAGGTAAATATGTTTAAATGAACTTAAACGATCCATTAAGAGCCTTCTTATTATTGAAAATATTAAAAATGTCGAACAGATCTATGTGTGAAGGTTTTATTCTAATTACTATGACAATATATTCAAATAAATGGAGGAGGAGGAGGAGTTCTGTTGCGCTCTTGTATTGTTTTTCGTCCGTTTCTCCCACCAACACATTCGTAGTTGTGTCTTCTCGAGTTCTAACATTTCCATGCACATTCGTTGTTGTATCTTCTTGACTTCCGTCCCCTCACCATCTTTCGGAAGAGGAGAATAAAAGAAATGATTGACACCTTTTCTGGTTTGATTCCGCATCTTTATTTAGATTTCTTTCTGTATTGTATTTCGTACCATACATTTTCCCTGTAACTCCCGGCCAATCCAAGTGCTTGCACCGTTTTGTTCAATGGTGTGTAAACCACCTTACATTATTTTCATCTTTCAATTTTGTAGCTAGTTCCGCGCTTTTTTAGTGAATGTGTTCAGTTTTCCTTATCTCTCATTCGTAAACAACAGAGGTCCCTCGGTTTATGCATTACACTCATTCATAAACAACAACAACAGAGGTCCCTCGGGGATTTTGCTTCTGTTTATGTATTAGCAAGTATTCTTTTTTGGCCTTTATATTCGTTTCGTTGGGGACGACTTTCATTTTGGTTTCCCACGCGCGTATTCGCTTTGTTCTGCAACAAAACAAGAGGACAGAAGTGCGCGCGCTTTAGAAGCACAACTCAACCACAATAACAACCAACTCATCTCACATTAAAAAACTGTTCCAGAACCTGCAAGAATCTCCTGGTTTTGCATGTTTTCCGATATCAGAAAGAGAAAATCGTTTATCATAGTAAAACACTTTTACATTCTTGCAGTTCTGGAACAGACCACAAGTTGAACAGAAGTCGAGCTCGAGTTTCAGAACTTTGAGTACTGAAGGTCGATTATTCGATTAATCGGAAGTCGACTTACCTCTCCCTATATTGTGTTTATTGTGTGTATCATAAAGCAACAGGACACCCCTGAATTTCTGGATTTTTGGCACAATTTGAAAAATGCCACCAAAGAAAAAGCAAAAGCCAAATGCCTTTATGGTGTTCGCTTTGGAATGGAAGAGCAAGTATGGCAAAGGATTGTCAATGGAACAAGCAACTAAGAGGGCCGGCGAAGTTTGGACGGTAAGCATTTAATCATTTAGTTATTTGATTTATTTGCATTCATTTGTTTAATGCTTTGTCATCAAAATCATAAAATCGTGTATCGTTCGTCTAAAGTGGATGTGTTCAAATGATTGCATTTCCATTGTTTCTTTCTTTGCTACAGAAAATGGATGCCGGCCAAAGAGCTCCGTATCAGGACAAGGCAAAGGAAGAGAAAATAATGACATCCCGCAATGCAGCTCACAAACTAACTTGCACTGGAGTTCCCGTCTCGCAAATAGAAAAGGAAAAACTCGACCAGGAAAATAAGGTATGTGTGGGGGGAGTGTGCAACATGCGAAACACAATTACATGGAGTAAACTCTATTTTAGGAACGTCTAATGAAACGCGATATCGAAACAACGGTCAGCAGAAGTGTCCAAAACGATGGTAAAATGCATATTGATGGGCGTAGTGTGTGGCTTGTGTAATTGATAATTTATGTTTGCCTTACAGAACTAGAAAATCAAAATTACTTCTTTATCATGGTCAATTATTTTACGAAAACCTTAAAGGGAGGCGTTTATGTTCCGGCCGAACTTGCTGTTTGCAAATTTTCCCTTAAAGAGGGTGTTAGTCGTGTCTATCAAACTCTCATTAATCCAGGTAAGTTTTTTCTTTTAGCTCCATTAGTGTTTGAACTTTACAGTCTATTCCGTGGTACGCCATTACAGGTGTCAACATCTACGGACACCAATATGAAGCTCAACATCATTCGGAAACAACTCACAATTTGCCTTTGCCTCCCAACGCTCTGGGTGACAAGAATCTCGCCAATATTTATAACGAAATTTTAAAATTCATACGCGACGATGATTCGAACAGCTATCCGCCAATCTACACACACCGCGACTGCATCCACATCGTGGAATCTGTGCTGGAATTTCTCAAAGCCGACATTGGAGCAAATAATACCGAGCTGAAAGTGTACCCCATACAATATCTGCTGTACATCATGAAAGAGGCCACCTGCGAAGCTGGCGAATTGGAGAAGCCAAAGAGTTTTTATATAACAGATGCATATTTTGAAAGAGACTTCTTTGAATTTCAAATTGGCATTGGATGCCAGGTGAGTAGGACACCATAATAGTACTGTTCAAAATAAAAAATGGGTTTCTCATACCACACAGTACCACGAGGACATTGATAAGTGTAAATACTGCACACAATCGTATGTTACCCGCTGGGGCTATATGTTTGCCGATTACATGTGTGGAGACTTGGCCATTCCTCTTATACCTGGTCGCCATTGTCCCATTAACACCAACCTAAATGCAATCATAACGGAAGCCCCTAGTCGGAACTATGACGACGAATCGATGGTATCTATGAGCACCAGTTTAACACATGTCACCAAACCAGTGGCTGGTTCAACAAAATACTATTATGAAGATCAAAAAGCAGCAGTGCCGACTGAGACTAGCAATAAATATTCCAAGGTCTTTCCGTCCCTTGGTGGACGCCACGACAATAAGAAAAAGCACAAAATGTCACAGCCAACACCTTTGAGTTCAGGCAGTGGGGATGACGACGATGCAGATCTAAATCCTTGGAATGTCCGCTCTCGGCGCAATGTTCCACGCGAACCGGATAGTTCCCACTTTGATATCGACTATAGCGGCGGAATGAATTCATCGGATGCCGATGAATATGGCTCAGTAGCAAGTTTTGGACGTGGGCGAGGATCCCTGGTTAGTTCTTTCAACAATTCCACCGTGAGTAGCTATGGACGTGGGCGCTATTTTCGTCCCTGAATACATCGTTGGTCAATGAATCGAATTGCTTTAATCAAAAACAGGAGTCTGTTCAATATTATTTCCATGCATCGTTTTAACATAGCTAAGCTAAATCCAAAAATAAAGATTAATCACCAAAAATAAAGTTTAATTCCTAATATGCGGCAAGGGGTGAAACACAGCCTTTATCTGATTAAAGAAAAAAGCTGTTTGAATGGGTTTTAATTAAAATGTCATTTTTTATTTTGGTACAGCATAATTTGGTTGATTTTTACAAATATCTTATTTTAACTTTAACTCGAACAAAAGGCGTTTACAATGAAAGCAAAATACAAACAAAAACATTTCCCTATCATAAATTATCTAAAATTAAAAAAAAAAAATGTGAATGTTCCATGATGTGGTGTGTGTGTGTGTGGTTTTTGGTCTGGTGTCAAGTATGAAATACATAAAAACGGATAAGCTATTAATACATGTGCTTGTCGTCCCAAATGTTAAAACATATATGTGTGTATACTGTCAATTAATACTTAAGCTGATCTTACAAACCTAAATTAACTACAGGGGGCATTACTGGTATGGTATGTTGTGTAAAACTTATTTTAAGGAATGATGACCTTTGGTGATGCTTTGAATGAGGCAAGAATCTTGGTTCGTAATCAAAAGTCCTTGTTAGAATGGTCGATATGAGAGTTTGTGTTAGTCTTTTAAAAATACCGTCATACGAATGGTTAGTTAGAAGTTGGCCTAGCATTGACTATTTTAATACATATTTGGTTGCTTAAATAATAAAATTGATACAGAAGTAGAAAAAAAAAAAAACAAATGACAAATAAACAATCGAATCGAATTAAAATTGCAAGCTTTTTTTGGTTTTGGTTTCTTAAACAAAGAGTATCCTGTTGTGTGCTTCGCATTTTTCTTGTGTTGTTGTTGTTGTTTTTTCGGTACTTTCTAATGAACCAATGCCTGAATGTTCGCTTTCTTGGTGACATCTTTAAGTTCTGTTGCTGTTGACTTATTTACAATGTCTTGAGCTTGACTAGTTGTCGCTGCGGGTGTTGTCGACTCTTCCGTAGTCGTGGATAGATCATATACCGCCACACGACTCGAGGCTGTAACAGATTTGGGCGAGGTGCTGCTTATTTTCTGCTCCGCCAATTGCTGGAGAGTACTTTCGCCATCATTCTGCCCCAATGCAGTTTTGCTGCTTTTTATTGTCTTCGAGGCATAGCGTTGTACAATTTCGCTTGATGTCTGCTTAAATGTATCGGACATTAGTTTATGTACTCGATCCATTAACTCGGGCAAGTCGTCCTTGGTTAGTCCTTCGGTACTCAAGGCCGGCAAAGCTGTTATGATAATATTACCCGCATTCAAAATTTTCTTTCTGTCATTCAAGAATGTGCAGTAGGAGCTGAACACCACTGGCAAGATTGGTATCTGTTCGTCTATGGCCATGTGAAAGGCACCTTTTTTGAAGCTATGCAGTTCTCCGGTATTGCGACGCGTTCCTTCGGGAAACACCCACAATTTAATGTTTTGTTTCTTGATCTTGCTGTTGACTTGGTTGAGGGTGTCTCTGGCCTTCTCACCCCTAACCCGATCGATGAATATCAGACCGGCTAGCCAGGCGGCCAAACCAAATGGCCAGGCATAAAACAATTCACGTTTAGCCACCACCGTACATTTGTTCATTACCGGCCAGATGTTAAACATTCCTGTGAATTCAAAGAAGAATGAGTTCAATTATAATTTTGTATTCGAAAATTGTTCGGTTCACTTCATACCCAACACGTCCAACGATGATTGATGATTTGCAACAATAATACAGGCCCGATCCTTTTCCAAATGTTCTTTTCCACGTAGCTCCCATCGCAAGCCGATTAGAGCTGTGACGCGATGACAGAATGCACTCGCCCATCTGGAAGAAATTTAATAAAAACGATTGAATTGTAGTTCAAATTACTTTTATAACAGAATCCTAATTCGAACAAAACTTCATTTTCTAATCCCATTAGAATCCTGGATCTAAATTATATTTCATTTCATCCTTTTTATGCTATCCTTTCTCCATCAATTTTCAAAATCTATCAATGTGTTCTAATCTTACTAACTACCTTCTTTAACTCAGGATGTATATTTTATGTTTGTCCTGATTGTTTTGATCATTGGACAAAAGGAGTATTAACCATGATCAGCAAAACGTTAGTGAGGAACTGTATCATATGCTCGTCTAAAAAAGAGACCATGGACATGAGTGTTATTTAAAAACCAATTATGGACGAAGAGTTTCAAAATACATTTGTTTTCCGGATATAATACTAATCATGATATGATTGCATTTATGAAGAATATTGACAACATTTTCCAATTAACATTTATCTTTATAAAAATTTTCCCATACGAACATATATTGCCAAAGCAACGATTCTATTTATTATCGATCCACTTTTAAACATCACACAAATCAAAGCAATTTCAGCACTTTATTGGCCCCTCTATCGAAGCCATAATTTTATCTAAAAAAACTATAATTGTTTTATACGTACTTGAAAAGATACGCCAACGTTGCTGATAAATTATGGTTCCTATCTTAATAAGTGTTTTGTCACTAAAAGGCTAATTATTATCAAACCCAATAAAATAGAGATTTAATTGATGGTTGAAATTGGAAACAAGGCCTCAACTGGGAATTCTATATTTAAATTTTGATAAATCGTTAATGTCTATCTGGGGACGTGTTAATAGCAATTTACTATGAAATTGATTGGGTTTTAATGGCAATCAATTAGCAATTCCTTCAATAAAATTAACTTCGAATATCCAGTCCTTTTCCAAAATTTAAAGGTACATCAAAATAATTACCTTTTTGTCGGCTGTTATGTTGACTGTCGCTAACTAAATATAAACTGTTTGGTTTGTTAGTTAGTAGACATAATAAATAATAAAAATATTACTTTTATTTGGAGACTACACCTTCAGCATTCATTAAAGAACAACACGAAACAATAAAGATAATGACCCAAGATACGATGAGTTATAAAAATAAAATCAATTACTCTAGTGCCCATAATGGACACCAAATGAATGGGGTGACAGAATAGAATATCCAACCAACTCATGCTCCAATCCTTCGGCTCTCTATTATAATTTTTTCCTCAATTGGGTACGTTGTGTTGTCACAACAAATAAATATCTTAAGGGAGATCTGTCTGTTGACACCAATGTCCCCCCTTTGAAATTATTGATTAGTCTGAACTGTCTGTCCATTTGACCACTACAAACACAAAAATAAATTATTAATTTATTTGTTAACAGGGTTGATGAAGAAATCTAAGGACGTAATCGAAAATTCACGGTGAAATGGAAAGGAATCTTAAGTGAGGGCGATGATTTTGAAAAAAAAAAAAAAACAACAGTCATTGAAGATGTGAAGCATTTATTGGAAATTTGTTAAATTTGAAATTTAGGTATGTGTTTAGGACACAGTTAATTGGCTTTTTATAGAAAATATACCCACTACTTAGTATACAATTATGGAGACTACAGACATCAAGCTAAGCAATATGAAATTGCATTAGTTCAGCATGAAGTTGTACTGTGTTAAGTACCTGGAGAATGATTATTTATTACATTGTAAAGTCGGAATAGACAATCCAAACAAATCCCTTCTCTAATGCTTCCTCACACCATTCCACGGAGCCTTGCAGAAGTGATCAAATCATGACTTCGTATACCAAAAATTTTACATTTCGGAATCACTACTACGTGGAACAACTTCTTTGGTATTAAATATATATTTTTTTTTGGATAAGTAAATTTTAGTTTTAATAATATTCTAATATTATATATAGCTCTGCAATGGGTTCAGAAACTTACACGTGATCTTCGAAGCACGTGGACCACGACATTGATTATTTATGTACAATAATAATTTACTTTCTTATCCAAGTCGACCAATGGTAATTGTACGGATTTAATAAAATGCTAATTACTATCAAGCTATTTCGTTCAGAGTACAAAAATATCAAACTACCAGGTTCAATGCAGTCTACGCACATTAGTGCTTAGACTTTTTTTTAATTGCCACAATAATATCATGTCACTGCAGCCTTAATTGACAAGCCATCGATAAAAATTACTTAAGGGATCAAGTTTCAAACTTCAAATAAAAATGATTGTGCATCTGCTGATTTTAATATGAAAACATGATGCAAACGGTTTATGTATTTCGATCCGAAGGTCATTCCAAATAATTTTTAAATTTAATTTTTATTTTTAATTACATTAAAGAAATTTGGAAACCCTTTTTGAAATTTTGTTTTCCGTTCGTGTTCACTTTCAAATGGTCAGACATTAAACGGGACACAAGCTTCATTGTTTTCTAGTCTGCCTTTAATGATACTTCTCCCCAACGTGGTAAAGACCTTCAACTGTGGTTCTAACAATATTTAATAAACGTAAATATTGTTCTTGAAAGTGAGACACATTTCGAGTCAAAACTATGTAAACACATTTTAATAACTTCAGACCAATTATCTTTACAAGACACAGTGCCCCTAACTTTTGTTTGTTTGTCTTGTTTGAACGTCAGCTGCTGTGTGTCTCTGTTGTTTTCTGCAATATTTCCTTTCCGTTTTTTTTTTTTTTTTGTTTAATTATCAATAGAGGTAGGTACATACTTAGATAATAAATAAACTAGGCCCCCCATTTCAGAAGTCTCCCTACCTTCTGGCTACAAAGCACTGGTCAGTCAGTACAATAGGCCTGGCCTTGTTCTTCAGGCCGTCCATGCGGTCTATGCATTGGACAACACTAGCAAGCTTGGGAACATAGTCAACTGTTATTGATTTTCTCACACTTCTTATAAAAATTTAACCAAAACAAACTGTAAATAATATAACAGCATTCAATTAGCACATTGTCGGGCAATACTTACAGCAAATTGCGAACGTCGCACGGACGAAACAGGAAGGCTGGTATCAGGATAATTGAGTTGAGTGAAACGATGCCATAGTAGACGAGGAATTTAAAATAATACCGAAAAATGTGACTCGATTCGTAGAGAAAAGGTAGCATTAGTAGCACAACCAAACCGAGCAGCTCAATATACGATGTCATCTTCTACAAATATTGGAGAATTCTCTTGTCACTTGTCTATTGTCAAAGGCCGTATTCGGCGCGTTGAGGGGGTGGATACGATGGGGGCCCGTACGCTAAAGCTAAATTTTGTTGCCAAAATGTCGTTGCCACAAAGGAATGTAGCACGTTTTGTTGGGAATGTGTTGCTTCTATGCTGCCAACTTGTTCTTAATTCATTTTTATGGATAGATTTGATTAAAACTGTTCAAAATGAAAACAATGTCTTATTAATAATCGGATTCAAATTACATTGCTGATACACTATGCAGAATGTTTTGAAATTGATTAGATCATGACTAATATTGTCTTCCCAATGTTTACGTAATCAAGTAAATGCTGAAATAATATTGAAAACACTTGCTTAAACATAAAGCATGACTAAATACCTAGGGGGAGGGATTAAATTTAAAGAAATAATATGTATTTTTGGATAATAATTTTAAAGACGTTATTATTAACGGATCGGTTGTGTCTTTGGCCTCGAAGAACAAAATTTAAATAAAATCTTAGTTTTACAAAACGAGAATTGTTCTAATAAAACTTCAATTTTAGTGGTGCGATTCTCTATAAGTTGTTGATATTTTTTACCGAAATATGTTCGGAGGGTTTACCATTTAAATATTGTGTTTAAATGCGTCAACGGATTTCCACTCTCAAGAAAAATACGAAAATGTATAAAAATTAGAACATCGGGTCTTTATTTCAAAAAGCCCGTAGACAACACTTCCACAACTGCAATTAAAAAAAAACTACTTTGCCTTGATCGTTAAATACCGACCAAGTTGAAGTTTTAAGGATATAAAAATTACATTTATCGATAAAGGTCGTTTAACAATGTGGCAACACTCGTAACATAATACGCACTTCTCTCTTTTCGGGAAAACAAGACGAAACGCGAATGAAAGGAAAACAACAAACAGAGCAAAACAAAGAGGAACTTTTTAAAATAATTTAATTGAATTCAAAAATCTTTTTTGGTTTGTCGGTCTGATCAAATATTTGTTATTTTTTACGAGACTTCCACTGCAGGACCTTCGGGATAGTCTCTAATTATTTTATTGTCTTTTTTACACACACTTCATTCACTTGTATCGTTTTTATTTTGTCTTTTATTACTTAAGACATCTTCTGCTTTGGCGAGGGGGTGGAGCGGTTCACTCTCCAATTTCTATTTTTTCGTTCTGGATGGAATGGGATGCACAACTGAATGTCGCTCGTTCGTCTGTGTGTTTTATGTTTTCGCTATGCAATTCATTCACATCTGTCTCATTGGCTATAATTAATTTCTTGATTAATTGTGAAAGAACTTGTGCGAATCGAGACTTGCTTTCGTAAACACAACACAGTTGTTTTTATTTTTCTCGTTTTGTGCACTTTAATATTTGTTTAATTTTAAATAAAAATCAATTTACTTCTTTCTTGTAATTTTAATTTCTTAATTTCCGCTCCTTTCTTCTTGACGGCTTGATTCTTATTACTGAGAGAGTCAACTGTTTTTACCGTTTTTATTTGGACTTTTTTTTGATTGTCGGTGATGAGAAATAGAGAATTTCGTACTTTGTATTTTTATGCTGTTTATCTGACCTCCAATGTACATTGGAAACTCATGATTGGGAAATACTCTGTTTGATATCCACTTTCATGCTAAGCTGTTTTCCAACCCCTGTTTGGTTAATCCTTTTTTAGAGACTTGAATTGCAATTTTCATTTAGTTCCCCAGAATGTTTAAGTTACGACTCAACACTGATAGTTTGGAGGGTTGTTTTATGATGGAGTTGCCAGATGTGCATTTTTCATAAATATGAGCAATGCCATACACCATAGGCGATTGGAAATAGAATCTAAAAAATAGTAAGTAAGTATTAGTGTAAGTATTCCAGAACCTGCAAGAATCTACTATTTTTGCAATTTCTCCGATATCGTAAAGGGTAAACCGGTTATTGTATTAAAGACTTTTACCTTCGTGTAGCTCTGTAACACACCAAATATTGTTATTGTAAAATATTGCATGTATACTCCTCATATCTACCTTGCTTTACTTTTGTCATAAAATCACTATTTTTCTATCTACTATTCTATTCTTCATTTCAAAGAAAAGTGTTTTTTTTTCGGTTTATTCGTTAGATCTGCTCGACATAGATTTATTTGGCCTCAAGAACAGTGTCTTGTGCCTTTATTTTTATTTGTCAACCGTTACTGTTTCTTGATTCCGTTTTCCCACCTTATTCGTACCTGAATTCCATGATTTCCCCTCTACGTCAATATTCGTGAAGGGGCTGTTGCCAGATGTACTTTTTATTATCGATAATTATTTGCATGCTTATCGATAGAGGGTCGTCTTTTTAATTCATTTGAATTTAACTGATTTGAGTTTGAACGTACAAACTCTGCTTATTATTCGAAATCTTTGTTGCAAGGGTTAATTCATAATAGAATCTGAAAGTTAATATATGCTTTGTTTCAGAATCTTCAAGAATTCACTTGTTTTACAAATGTTATCGATTTTATTAAGGATAATCGGGTTTCGTAGTAAAAATCTTTTGCACATTTGTTGAGAAGTCTTTAAAATTGCCATATTAGTCCTCATGAATGACATATACGTAGTTTAAAGAATTATAATTTTATTCCAGTGAATCCTACGTTTGATCTTGGTAAAACTAATCGGTTACCAACACAATGCATGCATTGAACATGCAGTACTACATATTCATTTGTTCCACGACAATAGCAATTTTATGGTCGGTAGATGTTAGAATAATTAAATTAACTTCGAGCAAAATCATATTGAAAGGTTTTTGAAAATCATACTTTTTGGCATATTATTGTCAAATTCCTGTCAGAATTATTCATTTATTTCGTTTTTTATTTTTTAAATGAGTAAAAACGCGAAAAATGTATGAAATGTCTGCATTTTCTTTCAAAAATGTAATCAAGACAGTTAAATCTTTCAGCTATATGGCAAAACTGGGTAAAATTTGCAATGCGCGCCCTGCAATGCTCGTTTTTTAATCATTGATTTTGAAAATGGTCTAGCCTCAAATAAAAGACAAGAATTCAATTTTTTTTTTCACAATTTTTATTTATTATTATTATTTTTTTTCGTATTACATTTGACATGGATGTACATTGAAGGTATTTATGGTTGATTATTAGTATTGTTATTGTTGTTTGTTTTTATTTATTTTTTTGTAGAGTTTGCATTGAAATACATAAAATAACTGCGGTATTTGAAAATGTTTACATATAATTTTACACAAAATACGGTTTTATAACGCAGATTGTTTTTTTGTCATGCTTGGAGGATATATGTAGAAGCATGTGTAATGTATATAATTATGGTTTTATTTATTTATTATTTTTTTGTGTAATATTGGTGTATTTGTTTGTTTGTTATTAGAACCAAAAATGCATAATTCACAACAAATTACAGTTTGCTACTATTAAATGTTAGTTGGGGAGTTTGTTTTGCTTATTATTTTATTTGCTGTTAATGTTTAGTGGATACATTTATTACTTTGATATTCGTAAATGTAAACGTGGCCAGTAGCTGTTGTTTCTTTTGTTTTTAATGATCAGGACTTTGTTTATTTTAATTAGTGTTTTTGTTCTCTTTAAGCCAAAATATGAAATTGTCCTTTGGATAATAGTTGTTTGCTTGTCTTTTTTTGTTTTGTTTGTGATTTGCGCATACATATAAACATCTAATTATTGTATTGATTCTTTTTTCGTCTTTTCCAATATCTATTTTTCTCGCCAAATTATTAAACTATGTTAGTTATTCCGTGATTTTGTTGTAGTATTTTTGTTGCCTGTATTGTGTAGTATTTTTGGCTGGATTCTTCTTAATTTTACAATAAATGTGTGGACGCAAACAAAATTGTAAATATAGTAACTAAATTGATAGTGTGTATTGTGGTTATGATAGTTCATATTTATTAGAAACTTACGTTTTCATAAATCAGTTTTTGTATTTTCTTTTTGTTATGGAACATAATAATGGAACATGTGATGTTAGTATAGTTTAAGTACTTTGAGGGTTTCCACCGCTCTTGTGTTTCTTTTTTTATTTATCAGTTTATTTGTTCTTCCGTCTTTTGTTTATAAATGCAGTATATTTTACACAAATATGTGTACCATTACGGTATTTAATAAGTATATATGTTATTTTTTATGAACATTTGAGGTAGATTACATTTTATCTTAAATTTAAGTTTACACACCTTTAAAAATTTGCTTCAACATTTTGCCATTATAACTATTTTGTTTTAAATCGGACAGGCTGTATAAGAAAGTGTTTGGCCTTCCAATTGGGGTCGTAAGGGTCGTAATGCGAAATTATTCGTTGTTATTTTTTGTTTTGCAAACCAAAGATTCTGAAACCAATAAATGACTGTTGATTTTGAAAGTTTAGCAGTACCTCTTCCGCAATATGCCAAAAAAATGTGAATAACTTAAATCGATTTTTAAAATAGCACGAAATTTAAATGCAATATATATAAATATATATATCGTGTTCCCAGACAAGCCGGAAAAAGTAAGTAAAGGGGAAAATCGTGCGGGTCGTCTATACAATAACATATACCACTCTGGGTATTTAGCAGGGATAACTCCGATAACAAATCATCATCATAAATTTGGCCCATACACGAAAAATCGGAGAAAATTAACCAAATCTAAACAGATTAATTCCTATTTCAAAAAGGTTCTTCCTCGCTAAAGGAAGAAAGTTGTCCAGAATTTCATCTCAATAGGACAATAAATTATGCTTCATATTTGTATCTATATGCATGTAGAACATTAGAACATTCGGTCCTTTTGCTTGTTACAAAGCAATGCATAAAGACATAACACACTGTAATCCAGTCTGTTGTAGAATAAATGTGTATAAAAACACTAATGTGTGCCTATGTCCAGCATACTAATGGTTCTATAAACTCGCCTATGATTGTCCTTTTTTGAAATCAATAAAACCCACACCTTAAGGAAAAAAGGTGTCCAATTGGACAAACATTAATGCTGGATCGTGGCTCTAGCAATAAGAAGAGACATTTTCCCCTATAAATCCATAATCTGTGAAATGAAAGATCCAAAACAAAACAAAAAAACACTTAAATCAAACGATAACATGTAAAAAATAATCAGAAAAAACAAACCAAACACCACTTTGAAATAAAAACATCAATTTTTTTCTTTCGTTTTTCCGTTTTTTTACTTTTATATTTTTGTTTGAAAATATAAAGTTTTACAATTTTTTTGTTTAACAAAACAAAATTGTTTATCTTTGAATCTTAATTCTGTTTTGTTGTTATTGTAGTTTTTTCTCTTGTTTTGTTATAACTATAATGCTTTAAAAATTATAGATAAAAAATAATAAAATTATATATGTATATTTAAAAAATAGAATAATATAATATTGTATTGTAATTTTTTCCTCGACAAAAAATATACAATTGAAGTTTTCTTTTCACAAAAAAACAAAAGAATTATTTCTTTTTATAAAATTATAATCATTTAGTTTTCATCGATGTTGTTTGTTTTTTTGTTTTTTTTTTTTTAAATATTGAAGGATTTACAACTTAATGATAAATTACAAAAGAAATTTATATTTTGTTGTTGTTGTTGCTATTTTTATTTGTTTTATGTAAATATAAAAGTAGTTGTTTTAGTACAATATAGTAGTAGTGTAAGGGTAAATTTGTAAAAAAAATATATAAAACGAAAAGTATATTTATTTAATTATTTGTAAATATCAAACGGCTTAAATTAAAAACTACTATCACACAGAAGAAACCGCTTAATAATTTACAAATGCTTAAAAAATTAAATAAACTAAACATAAAATAATAATATAATAATAATAATAAAAATATAACAAAAGCGAACTAAATTTGTAAATATATGTATGTAGGATAGATAGGCAAAAATAATTTTTGTTTTCATCAAATTCTCAAAGAAAAAATTTAGCAGATAAAACCAAAATTGCACCCGGCTCAAGAAAATCGAGTGAGTAACACACACACGCACAGATTGAATTTGGGTAAGGTGCGCGATCTGCAACACACTCGAATCTCACGAGATGGGGGTGTTGATGATTTATTTTTGCTGTTTTTTTTTGTTTTACTCAAATCTTTAAAATATTTTTTTATCTTTAAACGTAGTGAAATTATTATCGCTGTTATATAATTTTGACTTACAAAAATGTTTGCTTTCCAAAAATGGTTTTAAAAAATTAATTTGCATTAGAAGTTCTAAAACAAAACAAGACGGCAATATAAAAATGTTGTAGCTCAGTCTCCAGTAAATCACCGCTGTTTTGCCTTGGAATTCTGAATCTGTTTTTTGTTTTTCTTTTTGTAAAAAGTATTTATGTTTTCGCCTTTGTGTGTTAAAATGTAT